GAATGATTTAACGCCTTACTAATCGCCTCTCTGTCCTTTAAGGTAGTATCAGGGATGAGTTGTGGGGACTTAGGACTCCATCTCAATTGATGAGGCAAGCTGAAGTCTTAAGCAAAGGAAGGTTGGCCTTTGGCGAAGACCCTTGGACCAATATGCCACCTTCTGGAAAACTGGGATCTTTAAGGCTCATACATAATTAGGACCTGGGTGTAGCCCAATTGGTGTATTGAGTATTGATTAATTTCTTAGACTCCAGTGGTTGGTAAGAGTTCAGTCTCCTAAACAGCTACAGCACCTGGAAAATGATTACCAATGGTATTAGAATAAGAGACCCAAGGGGCACTGGAGAAACAACTGCAATTTATCACAAGTCCCTTTATTAACAAATCTGCTAAGCAGATAAACAATCCCGCCAACACTGAATGACCTCAGCAGACAGGGAAAGAGTACGGAGTGTTTAGCCCCGTGCCTGGCATTACTTACATCTCCCAGCTCCATGACAGCAACTGCGCCCCAACACTCCGCTGCACCGGCGAGAACTGCCTATCTGCTGTGCCCTGCAGACCCCCTATGCCAGGGGCCAGGACTTGAGGGCACCAGAGGCCCATTGCAGCCAGAAGCAAGGGCTGTCAGTGTCCCAGCAAGGGACACCCACCCTTCACATCCAGCTAAGCCTGTGGGAGGGTGGGGAGCCTGTGCATTATTGTTAGTGGGCATGTTTCAGAGTGCAATGGGATGGGTCAGTTATTTGACATCCTGGAGCCAATTCCCATCTAGTCTTTTAATTTATCCCCATCCTTTACAAGAATCAAACATTGTTTATCCTTCTCTATTGTCTTTGATATCCCCTCACGATAAACTGGGATGTCCTAGAAATCACAGCGGTTGTCTGTCACAGGTGAAGGCACTGTGCACAAAGAACCTCGGACCCACTGTTCTTATGGTGAGTCACTGAAGCCCCGAGGAGGGAGGAATAAGGGTGCCACCATCCTGGGGGCTTAGGGCTTCCCCAGCAGGGGCTTAGATAATGAAAAGCATTATAGGAAGAGTGGGTAGCGATGCTTGTGGTGAAGGTTGCTGGACACTGCCCATTATAATAGCCTGTTTCCAGTGCTTTTAGATTTTATCCACTTGGGCTGAAATTTTCCATGCAGCAAAAGCTACACTAGTATGTTTGAAGTAGGGTAACCCCAAGCCTGAGCTTTCAGAGCTGCTAAGCGCCTGCAACTCCCATTCAGGGCTATGGATTCTCTGAGCTCCTGGAATCCCCCATGTCTATAAGTCAGGAAGCACTGGGGGAGGGGAAATTCAGTATAGCTCATAGCAGTGTATAGGAGGGAGGAAACACTAGAGTAACCGTTCAGGATAGAATTTCAAGGAGCGGGAGCCTGTGACGGATCCTTACGGGAACATCATAATAGTTTCATTACTACAGAACTTATAAAGAAAAAACCACCCTATGGAATTCACTGGCTAAGCCAGCCTTCCTATAAACACTGAACCAGCCTGTGGCATTATACGCCTGCAGTGGCATTTAGCTAAGGATTTGAAAGACACTTGCCCATTGAAGTAGAGTAGTCTGAGGAATGTTAGCTGCTCCATCTGTGGATTAGAGCCAAGCTCCTAGAATTCTATTTCTTGGTCAGCAGAGGCTGAGAGAGACGAGAGTGAACCGCCCTCTTTCCAAGTGCTACCATTTCATCATCACGGACTTGCCAACCTGCCACCTCTCCCCCCACCTCCCTCCAGGCAGATGTTGCTTTGCTCATGCTGAGAACAATGAATGGCCATTTGGAAAGTGGGCCTTTCTTCATGACAAACTTTCAGTTATGGAAAATAATGGCAACTTATCATTAAATACCTTTTCAAAAGCTTCTCATTCAAAGCTCCCCAAGTGGTTATACAGGCAGGAGCGGGGTATTCGGGTGTAATTATGTATAGCTAGAGGTGCAGGAGGGAGAGGGATTTGGGTTGTACGCACACCCCACAGGTGTATGGCAAGAAGGAAGAGGCAGGAGTATTTTAAGGTATGGAAGTGCATAGTTAGGACAACCACTCAACTTTAATTTTGCCCTGTTAGACTCTTCTAACGTCTCATGGAGTTAACTCATTGAACTCTTGGGCGTGAGCTACACTTGAATATTTTGAGTGTCAGCTCCCCCCTATTCTTAACTTAAATTCTCCTTCAGCAGAAACCATGGCAAATACCTACCTTGATTAAGGTTAGTATAGTGCTTGGGGCCCCTGATTGGATAATTTCTTTTGAAAGCTAAAAGTTTCCCCCTCCGCAAGGTCTCACTTCAGGATGCAGAATTAAGGGGCCTTAACTCTGCATTTCTATGCATTAACATTGTTGGATGTCTTTTAAGTTTAACGGTAACTGTCTTTTCTGGTTTTGATGATCTGTATGGGAACACGTACAACATCCCTATAGCATATTTTCCTCTGAATTACTGAGCTCTACAGCGATGAAATGCTTACACGGTATTATAATGTTCAGCCACTAGGTGGTCTCCTGCATAACATACCTTTCCTGAGCTGGGAACAGCCAGATCTGGCAGTGCATTGTATAGTTAAGAGAACACATCTCTGGTATCTCTCTCCACGGTGAAAGTGCTATAACCAGTCCATATCTTGTACAGGCGTCTGACCCGCTAGTAGCAGTCCTGCAACCTACTGTGTACAAGGAGTACATGACCGCTGCTCTCAACCATCTTAACTCCATCTTAGTGGTTGTTACCTAGGCCTATCAATGAGGTAGCGGTACAAAACACATATCAGTGGTGGTGGTGGTGGTGGGGTGGGGGATTGCTGATGGCAGACACACAATCCTGACACTCAAATGTGGAGGTGGACCAATCGCCTTTGAATCCGCAATGCCAAATGCTTCCTCCATCTTACTGTACCGCTGATTTCATATTTCAATTCAAGTATGCATGCTTTGTTATACTGGTGAGGTATTTTATATCATCACAGAGAATATGTTCATAACAGAGGCTTGTTCCTCCATTGTAAAATAGCCTAGCTCTTTTCACTGCAGTGATCTTTCCCTCTCTGAGTACTTTAAAAAAACACAATACAAAGTGCTCCAATTATGAGGGACCAGATTAAACCCACAAAGCGCTTTGAGTTATAAAATAGTCATTAGCATGTGCACAGAGGTCTCACCTAGAACTGTGCAAAGTAGCAGATTTTTCAGTTTGGGGGCCACAATCTTTCAGCTCAAGGTCAAACGACACTTTGTTTTGTTGGCGTTTTTACCTTTTGAAATAAAACTGAAGCAAAATTCAGAACAAAGTTGTTTTGAATCCAAATCCAAATGTTTTGTTTTGAAACATGTTCCATTTGTTCGGGGTTTTTTGTTTTCTTTTCCGACCAAAACAATCTGGCAAATTTGACACGAACTCAGGCGATGTTTTGTTCGACCCAAATACCCATTTTTGGTGAAAAAATTTAATTTGACAAATATTGCCCATCTCTACTGAACTCAATATTCATTACTCCTTTGTTTTGTGTGAGGCTATAATCTGCTGTAAAATAGTGCAAAATACACCATTCCCAAGGGTAGATTTTCTAGTTAAAACGTGTCCATTACCAGCCATCTGTCACATACAAAAGCATGTAATGCCCAAATCTGATAAACTTCTAAAAGCCTCTAATGGGATCCTCTCTAACAAACATTTTGCTGGCCATGAGGGTAGCCATGGCCCAGGATTTCTGTCACAAGGCCTTGCTGGCCATGAGGGTAGCCATGGCCCAGGATTTCTGTCACAAGGCCTTGCTGGCCATGAGGGTAGCCATGGCCCAGGATTTCTGTCACAAGGCCTCGGTTAGTTTAAAGA